GTGAAAAATAGTCCAGTTCCATTCTTCTCCATCGTCTCTGTCCCGCAGAGATAATGAATGAGGAAATGAAGATGTGCAGCTTCACAAGCAGGAATCTGTCATAGATTATGAATATTTCAGACCTGACGCCGCACCACTGTGGTTTTATCATCTGAAATGACCATGTTACAGTAGTGGAGGATTAGGATTCCTACTGCGAGATGCAAACCGTCTTGAAATCTGCGGTTGTATCGAGAACAAACTAAATAATGAAGAATGTTTTCAGTTTGACTGTGCGGCTGAAGAACTTTTCCATTCATTGCCTTTCACTCAGCACACAGCTGTACCTGCTGCACTAAAATCCCAAAGCAAGCATTATTTATACTCACAGCTACGATCCGCTTCATTGCCTCCAGCTTGGAGGAGTCTTTGTTGCTGTCCAGCATCTCCTTCAAGTCGTCGTGTCTGAGAGATGGAAAAAAAAGGAAAGTTAACTCAGTCACAGCTTGATAAGAAAAACCTTAAGTCTCCGACTACAGACAGACACGGGCTCCACACAGCAAAGGCAGACCTACTTTTACAATTTTCATTTGTGCTCGTAATTCATCAGCCTCTGCAAGCGTGACCTAAAAATATTTTTTCTTTAAAGTAGGAAATCAAACTGGAGAAATACGGACATTTTTAATACAGCGGATGAGGAGAGAAGAGAAATTGGAATCTGACATAATTTCTGAGGAAATGAAGGACCTTTTCTACATCAGTATATCATCAAGGGGTGGTCAAAAACTAAATGGGTGATATGATAATGCTATCAGACCATAACAGTGCTATAGCAGTACTTTGGTGTTATACTCCAGTCAAAGGACTTACATATAATACTTTCATAAAGTACCATTATACTCAATCAGGGTTTTTACTGTAGCTTTTCCAAGGCCGCTGTAAATCTACTAAAAACTCCTGAGTTGTGTTGACGCAGGGCCCTTGATTAATAAGATCACAGAATTCTCCTCTGCGCAGAGTCTGAATTACAAACGCACATAAACAACTCAGACAGATCTGACTGAACCAGAACCTCAGGAGCAAATCAGTGGTGACAGTGTATCGGCACCGAGGCTCCTCAGATAGAGACACGAGGCTGAGTGTATGCCCAAATACGGAGTGATGACATTTAAAAGGACAAACATTGCAGTATTAATCTGCTTTTTCTCGATAGATAACAGAATACAATGTTTATTTCATAATTTCTGTGATAAGAAAACCTTGATTTGATTCACAGAAAATTGATTTAACAGATCACTGGTTCGCTGGTTTGATCACTGGTTCTACTATATGAGGTTTGTGTAATCTACCCAGTTGTGTGTGGAGGGGGGGTTTATGGATACTGTGGTTTTCTCCTGCAGTCCAATGTCGATTTTTTTCTATGTCCATCATATAAAACACAAGCAGTTATTAAACAGCTAATTAAATTGTTGTTGAAATAGCGCCCCATGTGTTAACATTAAACTACTGGATAATTTTCAATTAGGGTCAATTTTAGGAAATTAACGGTCCAATTAACATCACCATGGCAACAGATCTGGGTCTGTCCATTAGCAGAATTTTAAACTATTAAACAGGATGAACCCACGGCTGAGAGGGTTTTAGTGACACATGCTGACAAATGATTATGGTGGGGTCTGTTCGGTGGAAGGTGGAGCACTTACTGATTAACTAAAGAGCCGTACATTTCCCACAACTAGTTTCCGAGGCAACAAAGGATGCAGTAAAATTAACTTGAAAGATTTCCTGCCTTCCAGCCAGGCCTTTTATGGATCTGAAAACGTTTCAATCAGGGACAAGAGGCTGGTGGAGTCAGGCTCTATAACTGTGAGTTAAATTACAATCTTAAATCCTGAATTTGGTATCTTTGGCGTCAACCTTTAATGTGAACTGTTATTTTAGTTAATCTTAGTTCTAAAGCATGACACCCCATGTGTCATGTAGTTGTATTTCTCTTGTGCCTTTACCATGTGTCATGTAGTTGTATTTCTCTTTGAGTGCCTTTGTTATACATAACAAGCTAGAGCTAGATGCTGAAAGCTTGGTCACTTTGCCTAAATATATTACCTCATTGAATTGTATTGTTAGCACCTGTTACTGTAAAAGTATCACTGACTGTTGCTACAGTAGTTGATGCAAAAGCACTCAGGAATACACTAAATTGAGACGAGAAAAAAGACGAGAAATATGAATGATGGATAAACAGTCCGGCTACTTAGTCTACTTAGAGTGCAGCATGACATTTTATTAAGTGTCACCTGAGGGAATGACTTCAGAAACACAGTCAAAGCACCTGGACGAAGACAACCTTTTGACATCGGTGTTCTAAAGGGTTCACAGTAACACTACTCCAACACTGCTTCTCTCGTTTCACTGGATTCTGTGCTGTTCCACTGACCAACAGCTGAATTTACGAACAACTCTGAATTATTTAACCCACTGTGGTGCAACAGGCCGCCGTGGCGGTCAGGTTACCTGGCAGCAAAGCCACGAGTGGAACAGATGTCACTCAAATGGACCGCTGCTAACTTAAAATCCAGTTTGTCCTTAACAAGACCCCAACACATCTGCAGTGAAATGAGAAGTTGTGGAAATATTTGAAATATTATGTTTATGTACATTTGCATAAACCAGGTTATTAATGAGTTGCAGCCCGCGTTTGTAAGTCGCTGCTGAGGCTGTTTTACATGAGTTGACTTTTTTTATTGGTAGCAAATTCAAACTGTGGCTTAGAGCTGCAAAATCCAAACAACTATTAAATTAATGGTTATTGCAGTCCCCGCAGCCTCGACACAATTAACAATCTGCAGGTTAATAGCCAATGACAACAGTTTACAGAACATTTAAAAGCATTTTCAGCTACTTTTCTACCCAGTTGTTAAGTCAGTATATTTGATTAAAAATCAAGTTAAATGGTTAGCAGCTCTTTATAAACATAAATCAGTTTCCCTTACTCGTTGTTATACCACTAGAAGTGTATATTGGTTTGTTCATATGCAGTGGCACTGCTCAGAGAGGATATAATGTCTCTGGAGTGGAGACATGGCCCATTAGGTGGCAGTAGTGTACATAAAAGTTTGCCAGCAATTGTTACAAACCTAGACAAAATGAAGTGTGGTGTGTGTGTCTGTGGGTTGGGAGGGGTGCGGGGGGTTGGTGTGTGTGTCTGTGGGTTGGGAGGGTGCGGGGGGGTGGTTGGGTAGGACCAACTCACAGTCATAGTTGTATATTATTGGCCATTGAAGGTTTTAAATCTGTAAAATATATTTTTTCTTTTATCTTAATGGTTCACGTCTGAGATGTTTTATGGCAAAAAGTCATTTGCATTATTTGTGGTTTATGTGTCAGTCTGGATGTTTGTGATTACGCTAGCATCAAGGTGTCAATCACAAAATGCTGTTTTAGCATCACTGGTGTTGTAGAAGAAGTTTGGACTCAGTAAACTTTGTTAACTCAACAATACAGTATGTTGTTCCATCGCACTAGACTGGAGAGATGAGAGCATTGAAAGTGGATTTATACTGAAGGGAAGCCACATGATCTGTTTAATCAAAATTTTACCGCATGCCTTTAATCTAACTGCGTGTCATAAAGGTTTGGGATGCTGCTGGATCGCCCTACCGCAAAGGTTGATTTTGGAAACCACCACCTTCGTCAAGTGTTGCACGCTCGTCCTGGTCTCCTCCACCACTACTTCCTCCACCTCCTCCTCCTCCACCACCCCCTGAACCTCCAGGTCGAAGGTGTCGCAGCTCATCAGGCTGCAGGGCGCTGTACCAGGTCTGCTGCCCACCGTCAGGGCTCAGCACTGGGCTCTTGTCTTCCTCTTGACTCTGGCCTTGCACCTGACTCTGCACCGTCTTCACAATATTCACAGCGTTTACTGGCAGCTGCAGCAGTTTTTGCATCGTGGTCATGTTTTTAACTTGGTCTGGAAAAAAAAAATGCTTGGACGCAACCTGTAGATGCCTGTGTTGATAAAGACAGCAGCTGATGACTTTCCTGTAGTAACTTCTTGGATTTAATAGATCTTTTCCCAACAGTGTTCAGAGAAGAAACCGCATCCTCAATTTGAATCACTCTGTCATAATATCGTCTTCTGTCTGAGGTAAAAAAAATCCAAACTGACAAGAAGAAAGCGACGGTCTCCTGAGCGATGCTCCAGTGTCTGCTCAAAGACTACTGCAAGGTGGCAGGGCTGCCTGCTGTAATTCACATTCACAGCAGTGTTTTTTTCCCTTCTACTGTTACTGCTGAGTCTGTAAACATCCAGTGGAGCAGCAGCTTCTCAGTAAATGGATGCTTGGCAGAGAGGGGTGTGGATTTTTATTCTCTTCTGGCTCCTCCCACTGCTCATGTGGCTCCTGTCGCTGCACCACTGTCTCCCAGTGTGAGTCCTCACACACACACACGTACAATCGATGACAATAAAACCCAGCCCCTCCTTTCTCTCTGCCACGTTATCATCACTTCAACTGAGCTCGTCACCTTTCCTCCACCTCCTTTCATTGACACGTAGAAATAGTGCAGCTTCCATTCATTTTAGTTCCTGTCAGAGGTTTTTGTTTATCAGCTTTATATAAAGAAACACTGACAGAAAATATCATTCATCTTCCCTGTTATGTTTATTAAAGATGTCCTTTTCATTATTTTCTATTTTCTCTGCTGTCATTTTTTCCCGTCCTCTTACATGACTCAGCTTTCTCAGCACTGTCGTGAGGGAAAGCTCTCTCTCTCTCTCTTTCTCTCTCTCCTTCTCCCTCCCTGTCTCTCTCTCACTCCCTTCTTCTCTCTCTTTTCTCCCCTAATCTCATAACCTTGAAGCAAAATCCATCTTCTGATCAGTGACATGTCTTTTAATTTGTTGAACAATTTCATGTGTCTTTTTTGTGATATGATTTGAAAACACACCAAATGGCTCCAAAATTTACAGTAACAATGACGCGGAGAAAAAATGTTTTAGACCGTAGCACCCCCCTGAGCCCTGCAGGGGGTGCTGTTAATACCGTTTCAATGCCCAACTCTATGAGTTACAGTACAGCGAAACAACAATACTCTTGCACAACTGGTTTAATCGAAATCTTATCTCCTTAACTTGGTAAAACGAAAACACACAAGAGCAAGTTAAACAAGTTTAGGCAGTGGCAGCAGCTGTGCATCATGCCATTTTCATACTGCCACCTACTGGGTGTTTTTTACACCGCTACTACAATGTTCCAACCATTCCAAATGGGAAAAAAAAGAAAGTGCAGGCAGGGGGCAGCTTGGACATGAAAGCAATAAATATTATTTGGCCAAGTGAACATGGCTGGAAATTAATTATTTTATATGATTCACATTTGTTTAAGGAATATTAGATGTTGAATCCTAAATTGTGAAAAAATAACATTTTTTCTGAACTTTCTCCTGGCATTTGAATATGATGCATCCACTGATTTCTTTGTTTCCAGGTTGGTTGGAAAATGTTTTTTAGAACAACTTAGCCAACGGTGCAAAAATGAAAACTCAACCCAGTCCTTCAGTTCTCTAAATAATTTATAACTTTGACTTTAAAAGACTGCCTACTGGAAAGAGGGATTTGTATGTGTT